AGGGGTTGAGGCAGGAGAATGGCGTAAACCCAGGAGGCGGCAGCTTGCAGTGAAGTGAGATCCGCCACTGACTCCCAGGCCTAGGGCGACAGAGTGAGACTCCCGTTCTCAAAAAAAAAAAAAACAAATTGTCAGCCATCCACTTAACAAAGAATAACTTGGTGTTGTGCCACCTACCAACCATTTCAACACATTAGCAAGGAATTCAGGCCCAGTGCACTCCAAAAACACTTCTTTCCATTCCTATGGAGTGGTCCATAGCTGGAATGAGCTTCTCGCCCAAGAATTACTATGACCCCACCTTTGGTGGTCCTATGGTTATTAATCATGAACCCGTGAGCTGATTGTCCACATTAAGAATGGTTACATTTGTTTTATGACTAGCACCCTATTAAAGACAAAATTTTAGAATCAATACCAATTTCATCTCAGTTGACCTTCATCCATTTTCACCTGGCTCAAGCCTTTTTTTTTTTTTTTTCTTTTTTTTTTCTTTTTTTTTTTTTTGAGATGGGAGTCTTGCTGTGTTGCCAGGGCTGGAGTGCACATAGGTGGCAATATTGGGCCTACTGCAACCTCGCCTTCACTGTGTTGTCAGTCACTTCTGCCTCAGCATCCTTGAGTAGGGTTGGGGACTATAGGTGTACACCCCGCGTAGCATTCACTAAAAAGGTAGTATTTATTCAAATGTAGCACTCAAATATAAAATATATTTTTATATGAAAATAAACTGCAGACAAACAAAATTTATTTCAGATATTTTTATTTCTCCAAATTTGTTATTTATCAGGAGTGACTGAAATAAAAAATACAATTGAGTCCCATCATCATCATGGAAATGGCTTTAAGAGAAAACTGGTCAGATGAATATTATTGCTTCCCATTTTCAACCAGTAAATAGTTGCCACTGAGAAATTGACAGCCAGGAGTCTGTCAAGAATGCTCAAGATATGTTATATAATACAACATGCCTGTTCACAGGGGGAAAAATCCTAGGAAATAACTTATGTGTACTTCTTGATTTCATCATACAAGACAAGCACAAAAGCACCACCCATGCCCCTGAGAACATTGGACCATGCACCCTTGAAAAAAGCTTTGCCTCCTTCATCACGAGCTATCTTCCTCCAGCAGTCAAGCGTGCCTGTGTACATGATGTCAGCTGCAAAGAATAAAGACAGAGTTGGTGACTGAAGGCCGATGAAAAATCCTAAGATTCACTAGGCTAAATAAAGCAGAGCCCTACCTCTAAGAACATCAGCTTTAAACCCAACATTCACACATTAGCATGGGCAACACTGAAATATTAATGCTGTGACCACAGGAATATACAGACTACCCACTGGTCTTAATCTCTAATACCAGTTAAGCACCCTCATTCATAGGCATCTGAAGGGCCGGATCAAAGGCAGCTGTGGAATAGACACAGATGCTATCAACCCCATCCCTTGACTTGGACAGACAGCCATTTCTAAAGGTGGGCATCACTAGTTTGTGGCCGCAGCTTGCCCCACGCCTACAACTTTATCTTCTGCTCAAGGGGAACTTACTCCCTTTGCGCCCTGACTGCATCATCATGCGGCGGCGAACAGTATCAAATGGATAGGAAGTCAACCCAGCAACAGCAGTGACAGTCTGTGCGATCATCCAGCTGATGACGATGTGAGTGTTCTTGGGATCCGGAAGCATTCCTGGGAATAGGAAAGAGATGCTTTTACCAAAAAGTAGAGTTTTAGTGACTTCCTTTCCCCACATCCCCTAAACATGTCATCTGTGCATGAGGGTCGCACTGGATGATCTTGGCTTCCTTCAGCAATTAAAAAAACTCTCTAGCTCTTGGAATGTTAGGTTGGTACAACGCTCTTTTAAATTGTTTGTCTCCTAAGAACACAACTTTAAAGCCCACAGCAAACTTACCCTTTGCAGTGTCATAGATACCGAAGTAGGCGGCTCGGTAGATGATAATACCCTGCACAGACACGTTAAAGCCTTGGTACAGGCCCTTAATCCCATCAGATTTGTAGATCTTAACCAGGCAGTCACCGAGGCCTCGGAATTCCCTTTCAGCTCCAGCTTTACCCACATCAGCTGCTAGACGGGTACGGGCAAAATCAAGAGGGTACACAAAACACAGGGATGTGGCCCCTGCGGCACCACCTGATGCCAGATTCCCTGCAAAGTAGCGCCAAAACTGGGTCCTCTTGTCCACACCACCTAGGAAGATCTGCTTGTATTTATCTTTGAAGGCGAAGTTAAGAGCCTGGGTGGGGAAGTATCTGATGACATTGGCCAGGTTACCGCGCCAGAAGGACAGAACTCCCTGCTCCTTGGGAATACGGACCACGCAGTCTATAATGCCTTTGTATTGCTTATCTGCAGTGATCTGCTTGCTGGCATGCTGCACCTAACAGACAGGAAGAAGCCAACAGGGACAGTTATAACCATGCGGAAGGGAAAGAGAAGAGCATATGCCATGTGGATCAATACCCTTTAAGGCTGGCTCCCCTCTCCCAAATCTAGTCTTCGTATATCATACTGGCTGGAGCCTCCCAACCATATGAGGCTGTCACAGGGGAAGAGGTGATCGGCACCAGAGGTATTAAGCCTCCACCCCTCTGAGTGGGGAGGGGGCATCCTCCAGCGGACTCGTGACCTTTAAACCTGAGATAAAGGTCATTACCTCAAACCCAGGTTCAGAGGCATTAGGGCGAGTCCCACATAGGGCGCGGTCACCTTGGGGACCGCAGCCTACGCCTCAGGTCTCCTGAGCTGCTTCCGTCTCGCTCCGCCCCCACTCCGCTTCCAGAGGTGACCCGAGCGCCGCCGCCGGCACCCCTACACGCTCGCCCAGGGGCGCCCTCTAGAGCCAGCACTGGAGAGCGCGCGGCGCAGGGAGGCAGGCGGAGGGGACGCGGCGGCCACGGCTGCGCGGAGGCGGACGTAAAAGGAACACGCGCTTCCCGGCGCCGGCTTCCGGCCCGGCGAGGTTTGAGCGCGTCCGCGGGCTGGGAGGCCGCCGGACCCGGGCGCATGGCCTTCCCCGGGCAGTTATCTCCTTGCCGCGACCTTGAGGTCTTCGTTAAGAACTGGCGTTCCTCTTTCTAACGCCGGCTTTCGGCCTTCGCCCTTGACGCCCAGGCCCGGGGAGGCCGTCACTCAGGGACTGCTCCATCCGAGTCGGCCGCCTCGGGGATGCCGAGAGCCTGGTCCTGCTCTCCGCCCCCGGCCCCTTTCTAGACTCACAACTTCAGGTCACTAAAGGTGCCTCCCACCAGTTTGCCTTCTGCTCTGCCTCTGCGCCCGGCTCTGGCCTCTCCTAGCCGCTTCCCTGGCCATGTCTTTAGAGTTCGCTCCCCGCCACCCCTCGGGCGCCCGCCTTCTGTGCGACCCTTCCCCCCACTTCCTGGTTGGGCTCCTGGATCCCAGGACGTACCTGCAGCAGCAGCTTGACCCGCTCGATGGGCGCTACCGCCGTCTTGGAGATGGCTGCGGCCACTCCACCTGCCAGGAAGTCCTTGGCGAAGGACACAGCGGCATCTGTCATGTTGAAAGGAAAGAGGCGGCAGGCTGCTGCGGGACGGGACTGGGCCGGGAACCGGCTTTGACTCCGGCGCTGCGGGGCGGAGCGAAGCAAATGGCCGATTTATATAGGGGGAGCCGGCGCCGGAGCGGCAGGCGTCGGAGGCGGGGCCGAGGCGGGGTCTGGGCCCCGGCGCGCTGGGCGGCAGAGCAGCTGAGTGGCCCAGCGCGCAGGGGGAGGAGTCGTGGAGGGCTGGCCGGGACCGCTCTCCGCGCCGCCCGGGCTCGCCCTCGGCACCGGACCCGGCAGGAGGAAGGGGCGGGTCCAGAGGACACTCGGGACTTGAACGCTGAACCCTGACAGAGGCCTCGGAGTGGGTAGGAACGGTGAGGTCACGGTGTGCCGGGACAAAAACCCTTGGAGCAGAACTAGGGTGAGACACATTTGTTACAGGGATGCCCAAAGAACCCTTCAGTCATCGAGATAAACAGTAGTTAATGTGATACTTTAAAAAAGTCGTATGGGCAAACATCCCGCTGGCCGGCCCCCTTGTTTTGTAAATAAAGTTTAATTGAAGTGTCAAGGCTGAAATCAGGGTGAGGCAAGCGAGACAAAGTCATGCAAGTGCAGGTTGGGATCCTGTCTGTATTTCAAATGCTGATCATTTGTTCATCATGAATTTTTGCATTGCTTTTGATTTTTTTTAAAATAGTGCATTAAAAATCATTTGTCTTAATTACTGAGTTGTGTTTCACCAAGGTGAGTGCCTCACTCTTCCCACCCTAGACCGGGCACTGTCCTGGAGCCAGTGAAACCAGACGAAATTAAGGGAACAACAGACGAAGGAACTGCCACCGTGCCCCAGACCCTGGTTTGCAAATACAGTTCAACAAAGACCTTGCCAGGAATTGGCCTGGGAGAGTCCAAAGGACTGGGCTGGGGGTGGGGAAATGATTTTAGCCAGAAGGTAAATATAGAGGTTGTACCCAGAAGGTTAAGAGGCTTAGGAAGGTTAAGAACTACGTTGACATTTGGCTCCCAGGACCCCAGGTAAAGTGCCCTTGGATCGAATAGATTTCTGAACTCCAGAAACATTTAGAGGAATCAATAGAATTAGATTGGCAGCCATTGTGCCAATGGACAAGTGCTTACTGAGCCCCTTAATCCCTTCACTGGGTAAGCATTTGCCACACATGTCCTCAAAAACCTACTTGTTAGCTTAAGTGGACTCCCTCAGGTTCAGAACAGGAGCAGAGAGTGTAATCACAAATTCCGTGTCTGAATAATCATAACAATGTTTATAAAAATAAGGATGACTGTTGAAAACGGCAACTGCGGCTGAACCTTATGTGCCCAGACTTCAGAATTCCCAAAGGCAAAATGCCAGCAGGCCTTTGCACGCTGAACACATAGTGTTCATATCCTTCACTTTCCTTTCCTGCCCTCTCCCATCTTCTCCAGATCTGCCTGTGAAAGGACCCAATTCTAGGACCCTCCAGGATGGTTAGGCCCTTCCTCTGAAAGTACACTTTGCAATTTGTTAGTCACCTCAAGAACCCCAGCGATCCAAACTGATACAGGCAAATTGCAGGTGTTCAAAGGAGCAATTTTGAATCTAGCTTTGTAGATCCTGGGAGAAATCTTTGACCTGTGTTAGTGAAAGGCTACAGTGTTTCTCAGCTGATTATAATAGTGAGGTAGCTGGATGCAAGAAAACAGCTTCAGAGAATGGTAGAGTATATCCTCCAAAGGCGATGTTCACTTCTCTATTCTAGTGAGAGAAACAAGAGCTAAGGCAAAATTCTACAGAGGGCTTTATTGGAGAGAGGTGGATTTTATTTATAGTGCATTTAAAAATAAAATTCAAAACCTTTCTAGTTTGAACTCTTGACATTCTGATGAATGCATTTTTATTCAACTGTTAATTATTCCTCAGTACACCTCGCCATCACTTGTGTATCCCTTTTCTTCATGTGACCTTGCCCTGGCCACATCTGCTACTCTCTTTGAGCATGATGCCTCTACTGTATTCTATTCCAGAGCTCATTGTTTTGTCAGTTTTTTTCTCTCCACAAAAAAAGGTGATCAAATAATTACATAGAATTTTTCCCTTCTCAGTCTTTGGGTAACTAAGTGTGGCTTTATTGACGATGAAATACAAGATGGGTCATTTAAAAGCAACTTCATGCCATCACTTGGTATTTTGCTAAATCCATGGTGAGCTGGAGCTCCCCTAGTCGCCTATTACCGTGTATATTTTAAGGAGTCAGATATTCTCGAAACTGTTAAGACCATGAAAGACAAAGAGAGTAAGGAACTGTCACAGATTAAAGGAGACTAAAGAGACTTGACAACTGAATGTAATATATGACACTCAACTGACTCCTGGACCAGAAAAAGGACATTGGTTATATTGGTGAGGTTCGAGTATCTGTAGATTACCAATACTATTCTTGGTTATGGTGGTTATGTAAGATTTAGAGAAGTTGAGTAAATGATATAAGGACATTTTTGTACTGTTTTTGCAGCATTTTAAAAAGTCTGAAAGTTTAAAAACTTTTTAAAGAAAAAAGAAGGAAAAAGAAACAAGGAGCAAGCATCCAGGAAAATAGAGAATAGAGTCTCATTCTGTCACCCAGGCTGGAGTGCAGCGGCACGGTCATAGCTTACTGCAGCCTCGAACTCCTCGGCTCAAGTGATCCTCCTGCCTTGGCCTTCCAAATTGCTGGGATTACAGGTATGAGCCACTGCACCCAGCCGAGAAGAATATTCATGATGATGATAATGATGATGTTGATGATGATATATGGCTGGTCAGTTAATCAAAACTAATTCCTCCATTGAGACATAGTGCTGTGTTAGAATTACTGTGTTTCTGGGAGGTATGTAAAATATAAGTCTAATAAAGAGGAACTAAAGCTAAGGCAATGCCTAGTAATTCTCAAGGAAAAACAAGGAAGAGAGTCAGAGATGACACTTTTAAGACCTCAGATATCTATGTACCAACACCCAGAATATGGGTAATAAAGGTAATGTAAAATTTTTTTTTTTTTTTTTGAGACAGAGTTTTTCTCTTGTCGCCCAGGCTGGAGTGCAATGGTGCGATCTCCGCTCGCTGCAACCTCTACCTCCTGGGTTCAAGCGATTCTCCAGCCTCAGCCTCCTGAGTAGCTGGGATTACAGGCATGCCAACCACCATGCCTGGCTAATTTTTGTATTTTTAGTAGATACGGGGTTTCACCATGTTGGCCAGGCTACTCTCAAACTCCTGACCTCAGGTGATCTGCCTGCCTCAGCCTCCCAAAGTGCTGGGATTACAGGCGTGAGCCACAGTGCCCGGCCGGGAATGTAAAATTTTAATACACTCAGGAAAATGCAGTTTTATAGGTATTGTTTAGATTTGATAGGGTGGAACTTCCGGCTAGCATCTGGAAAACTTGGTTCAGAGATACCATACAGAAGAAGAGGAGAGCAGTAATAAATCAAGAAGGTATAACTAGTAATTCTGGAGGGTGAAAAGCATTCAATGAGAATGAAACAGATAAATGAAAGTGATTATAGTTGTAGAAGTATACAAGAGACTGCTCAGATTAAAAGTATGAATGGGGCCGGGCGCAGTGACTCACGCCTGTAATCCCAGCACTTTGGGAAGCTGAGGCAGGTGGATCACCTGAGGTCAGGAGTTTGAGATCAGCCTGGTCAACATGGTAAAACCCCGTCTCTACTAAAAATACAAAAATCAGCCACGTGTGGCGACTCACACCTGTAATCCTAGCTACTCAGGAGGCTGAGGCAGGAGAATCGTTTGAACCCAGGAGGCGGAGGTTGCAGTGAGCCCAGATCACACCACTGCACTCCAGCCTGGGTGACAGAGTGAGACTCTGTCTCAAAATAAAAATAAAAAATAAATAAAAGTATGAATGGCACTTCATAAAACTGTCACACAGACAAACAAGAAAGGGTGATCAGAGACATAGAACATCTGAATATCTGCTGGAAGTTATTCTGATAGCAACATATCTGATACATTCTTTTTTCTTATTTTTAAGACCATCTTAAAGTTAAGAAAACATCTGACAGATTTTTGGCTCTCTTGCTGATACAGTGTCATTACAGTTCTCAAAAGAATGAAGAAGCGATGAAAGAAGCAATGAGGTAAATTGCTAAGCTGGGCTTAATCCTGATAATAAATAAGGAAGATTTGGTTAGCGAAGTGAAAGTGACAAGAATCTTGGGGAAAGTGATCCTGTCATCTGGATATCTGTTAAGCAAAAAAAACTAAAAAAAAAAAAAAAAAAATTGCTGGGCATGGTCACATAGGTTAATTAACGTGTGTGTGTGTGTGTGTGTGTGTGTATGTGTGTGCGTGTGCGCGTGTGGTGTATGTATGTGTATGTGTAAGGTAGACTTCAAAAGGATCAGAGAAAAGATAAGTATGATCTCCTGGCGTAACACCAAAAAAGAAAGATAGCTCAAGAGGGAGAGGGATCCAGTTGAAAATTCAGAACTGTAGAATTTGGAAAAGTTCCAATGATAAATTAAAAAGGAAGAGATTTCTAATAAACTACAGTGTCCTTATAGATTATTCTCTGATGAGCTCAGATCTTAAAAGTACATGTATATATGACAGAAGGAGGACTATGCTTCCAAGGACAAAGCCCAAAGAATGTCACAAACCTCTAGGAATTGAGTCATAAGGGCTAAAGTCCAGAATAAACCCAGGCTTATAAAATGGGAAGCACTGCAATAAAGGGTTTTAATGCCCTATTTAATGCAAGACATTTAAGGATGAGGAGATAGAGCTTAATGGTAGCATGTGTGAAGAAGAGAAGTAGGTCCTAGTTCACTGTGGGTTGGCAATGCCAAAAAATACCAATGAGTCTTGAGTTGCACTAAGAGAATGGTAGTGACCAGATCAGAGGGACTTTCCGTTCCACTTGGGTTTCTGTTGGCCAGCCCATAGAGTTTTACATTTAATTCTGGATGCTACATTTAAGAGGACATTAACAAACTGGAGCATATTCAAACAAGGCAATCAGGAAAGTGAAGTGTCTATAAGTCATGTATTATGAGAAATGGCTGAATGAATGAGAGATATTTAACTGGGAAAGAGATTTGGGTGAAAGAAGGACATCATAACTGTCTTCATAAATTAAACATTCTATGTGGAATTAACACCCACTGGTAGAAGTTTCATGAAGGTAGACTTCAGCTCAAAAAGACATTACTTTGTAAAATGTGAGCTACTTAAAGGTAGAATGGGTTGCCGTATGATGGGGTGAACTTTTTGTTACTGGGAAGGCTAAAGGTTGAGGCAGAATAGCCACTTGTTAGGGATGCTATGGAGGAGATCACTGGGTTGGTCTGGAAAAGAGTTCTACACCCTTTCCAATTCTAAGATTCTATGGCTCTATCCTTTTGTGTCTATAAGATTGAGTGGATTTGAGCATCTGGGTCTGGGAATCTGGGGCAAATAAGAAGAGAAAGGTAATTTAGCCCAGTGGTTAAGAGGGTGGGCCCTGCAACCAGGTTGCTTAAGTTTAAATTCTGGCTCTGCCACTTGCTAGCTGTCAGGTCTTGGGTAAATTGCTTTACCTCTCCAAACTGCAATTTCTTCAGGTGTAAAATGAGAATGATAGTAGTACCTATACCTCAGAGGACTGTAGGCACATGCAAATGAGATAATATATGCATAGAACATCACTTAATATGTGTTAGATTTTATTAATTTTAAGAAAAATACAGCTGGGCATAGTGGCTCACACCTGTAATCCCAGCACTTTGGGAGGCTAAAGCGAGAGGATCGCTTGAGCCCAGGAGTTTGAGACCAGCCAGGGCAACACGGTGAAACCCCATCTCTATGAAAAAACTAAACAGTTAACTGGGCGTGGTGGCACATGCCTATAGTCGCAGCTACTCGGGAGTCTGAGGCAGGAGGGTCACCTGAGCCAGGGAGGTGGAGGTTGCAATGGGCCATGATTGCACCGCTGCACTACAGCATGGGTGACAGAGTGAGACTCTGTCTCAAACAAAACAAAACAAAACAACAGTCGGTGGATTCCAGCCCATGGGTGACTGCTTAAAACAACAGTCTTATTGAGATGTAATCGTCAGACAATAAGACTGTACATATTTATAGAGCACAATTTGCCAAGTTTTTTCACATGTATACACGTGTTAAGCCGTCACCACAAGATCACGAACATATCCATTACCACATAAAATTTTATTGTGCCCCTTTGTAATCTCTCCATCCCCAAGCAACCTTTGATATGCTTTCTGTCACTATAGATTAGTTTCCTAGAATTTTGCATTTCCTAGAATTTTGTATAAATGAGATCATATATTATGTACTCTTCTTTCTGGGGTCTAGCTTCTCTCACTTTGCATGTTACTTTTTGAGATTCATTCATGTTGTGTGTATCAATAGTTATTTACTTTCTGTTGCTAAGTAGTATTCCATTGTGCAGATATGCCACTTTTTTTTTTTTTTTTTTTTTGAGATGGAGTTTCACTCTTGTTGCCCAGGCTGGAGTGCAATGGCATGATCTTGGCTCACTGCAAACTCCGCCTCCTGAGCTCAAGCGATTCTCCTGCCTCAGCTGCCCAAGTAGCTGGGATTACAGGCATGCGCCACCACGCCTGGCTAATTTTTGTATTTTTAGTAGAGGCAGGTTTTCACAATGTTGGTCAGGCTGGTCTTGAACTCCTGGACCTCAGGTGATCCACCCGCCTTGGCCTCCCAAAGTGCTGGGATTACAGGCATGAACCACTATGCCTGGCCCACGTTTTGTTTATTCATGATTTGATGGACATTGGCTAATTTCCACTTTTTGCCTATTATGAATGACACTGCTATAAACTTTCCTATACAAGTTTCTGTGTGGACATATGGTTTTATTTCTGGAGTTGTCACCTAGAAGTGGAATGGCTGGGTCACGTGGTAACTCTATGTTGAACGATTTGAGGACCTGCCCAAGTTTTTTCCAGAGTGATTGTACCATTTTACATTCTCAACAGCAGGGTACGAGAGTTCCAGTTCCTCCACATCAGTCACTGCAACCTTGACCTCCTGGGCTCAAGTGACCCTCCCACCTCAGCCTCTCAATTAGCTGGGACCACAGGCGCCTGCCACCACCCCTGGCTAATTTTTAAATTTTTTGTAGAGACAGGGTCTCCCTATATTGCCCAATGGGGGTGGTTAGTTACCATTTAAATGCAATTGTATATAAATAATTTTTTTTTAGACAGTCTTGCTCTGTTGCCCAAGCTGGAGTGCAGTGGCGTGATCTTGGCTCACTGCAACCTCTGCTTCCCGGGTTCAAGCAATTCTCCTGCCTCAGCCTCCCAAGTAGCTGGGATTATAGGCGTGCACCACCACACCTGGCTAATTTTTGTATTTTTAGTAGAGATGGGGTTTCACCATCTTGGCGGTGCTGGTCTTGAACTCCTGACCTCAAGTGATCCACCAGCCTCGGCCTCCCAAAGTGCTGGGATTACAGGCGTGA